ACTGTACAATGTTGCTGCCATTAAATATATTACTGGTAACAACAGTTATTGTTAAGGGCCGCTGGCAAAAACACTCGGTTTAAATATGTCGGCGAAGGCAGAGCCACGCCCTGGGGGCGGACCTAATCAAGAGATTGGGACGCCACTCAGTTTGACCTTCCCGCCCAGTGTTAAGGGGGTGGATCTCATGATGTCGCCAGGAACTCAAGGCCCACCCAGATGTGATATAGCTTCCTGTTATTCGAGTATAAATAAATCTGCTTGCGGTGCTGATGCTCTCTGCGTCTGTCCCTCCATCAGAGGGCAGACGCCACACCCAGGCCCAGCTTTCGCTCTATTTCTGTCTCAGTCTTGTGTTTTTTTCATTTTTCCTTAAACCTCATCGTGTTCTAATCAAGATTCATCAACCCCCGTGTTCTCTCTCTCTGCGCTGGTCATGGGAAGAGAGAACCCCCATTCATAGTTATAGCTACATTGGTTTTGCAAACTCTGAGCATAGGGCGAGGGTCTCGCTACTCACTCCATAGGAAAGCAAGCTGATCTGCGGGCTGTGCGTTGCCCAGTACTGCTATAGGTACACTGCAGACAGTGAAGGTGGGTGTGATAATGCCGCCATTCCTTAATTATCTGGGTCCGATCATTTTTATCTTATTACGAATATAATCCATAAACATTATGATACAAATACCGAACTTTTGAGCATAGAAGGTCTCTAATAGAAATTGGAGTTGAAATCAGCATATCAAGTCTCAAGTTTATCCTTTCCTAGCATGTGCATTTGTTAATCTTCATCACAACAGTGATCCTTTAAAATGAAAATTCCCATGGGCCCCACCCTAAATCGACTGAATCAGAATCTCTGGGCCAGGGGTCTGGAAACCTACATTTTAGCAAGTTCCTCAGGTTGATTCTTATCCATATTAAACTGTAAGCCACCTGAACTATCAAGGATAGATGAGCGATGGTGAGAGGTACGCTCTTTCTATGATAAAACTAACACATTAAAATGAGTCATAAAGATAAGGCTTTGTGTATAGATGTACATTATGCAGAAATTTGCATACACACAGGAGGTTGTCAAGGGAAGGGAATCAACATTTACTAATTGCCTGCGATAGTATAGCTCTTGACCAAATTTTAGTATATGATTCAATCTTCAAAATAACCCTATTTGGATGAAAAAAGTTAAGGCTTAGGCAGAGTAACTTTTCTGAAGTCACAAGCCTGGGACAGGGCCCAGCACGGTTGTGAAACTAGATTTATCTGGCCCAGTCTTCTCATTCTATTGTATTAAGCTCATATGCCTATGAAAGCACACACACACACTCATGTCATAAGATAGCCATATCGTAAAAAGGCATAGGAATTAAATTATTTTTAGAACTTTTTTGCATTTTGAAATGTAGTTTTAAAGAACTTACAATATCAACGAATATTCTTTGGTCTATCTGCTGACAACAGAATAAAGGGTATGACTACTACCAAAACCACATTTAGCAGCCTGAATGTTAGTAACCAGAAGTGTGTTTTGAGGTTTGCTGGGGTCAAACTTAACAGCGATTCTTGATTTGCTCAAGCTACAAATTTTTGCAAATGAAACATCTTCATATTCATTCTGTAAGTCGTATTACCTTACAAAGGAAAACGCCAACGAACATGGTTTAGCACATGTCAATCCAATGACCATTCCGGGCCTCCCCTCCCCTTCCAGCATCTGACATTCCAGGTCCCTTCCACTGGGAAACCCCCTTCTGCTGGCTCTGGAGTCATGTTCTCCCGTGGTTCTTCCTTGCTCTTTTGCCAAAATTCTCTCTAGATCCTGCCTAGGTCCTTCCTTCTTTTCTCATAAGGCTCCATCCTCAACTTCTGCCTCCATACAGTCTTTCTGAAAACAATCTCTTCTCCCACCTCTTGACTTATTTGTATTGCAAGGACTCCCAACCCAGCCCCAGCCTTCCTCTGGAGCACAAAGCCCCCATCTGTCCGGGGGATGCCATATTTCCAACACTTCAAACTCAGCACCTCTAAAACACAGCCTCTCACCTCCCTCCAAGCTTCTTCCGCAGGTATCACTGCTCTGGAAATCTGTTGGCGTTAGCTGTTCCTTCTCCACTGAGAGGGCAGATTGTGTCAATCCTTCCTTTTGCATCAGTTCCTTTCCCATTTCACTGCCATCACCCACTTCAGGCCTCCCCCCATCCTTTCTAACTGGTCTTCCTGTCTCTAGTCTCTGCCCTGCCTTTCCTCCCCATGTCCCCACAGCTACCAAAAGGACACACTCCTCATGTGCAGCCATGATACTCCACTGTCCAAATATCTTCAATGTCTTCTACTGGTTAATCCACTCATACTTCCTAGCTTGGCATTCAAGACCAGTATCATTTGGTACCAAATGTTCTCCAGTTGTATTTCCCACCAGATGCCTCTATAGACCAGTTCTAACTCAACTGGGCTCACTACCTTTCCCTGAATATGCTCCATGCTTTCCCATTCTGCTACTTCTCCTGTCTCAAATGCCTCCTCCTCATCTCTTTGATGGAAACCACATTCTTCAAGGACTTGCTTAAATGTTGTTTTTTTCCTCAAAAAAGAGTCCCCTGACTCCCAGAGGACCTCTTCCTCTTCAAATCACACACACACACACATATATATATATATATATATATATATTGGCATTTACCACGCCGTTATTTTTGTGTATTTTATTTCCTCACCTACAGTACTGTCTGACAGGCCAGGCCTCTGTGGCTCAGTGGTTGAGTGTCGACCTATAAACCAGGAGGTCGCAGTTCAATTCCCAGTCAGGATACAAGCCCGGGTTTTGGGTTTGATCGCCAGTAGGGGGCGTGTAGGAGGCAGCCAATCAAAGATTCTCTCTCATCATTGATGTTTCTATCTCTCTCCCTCTCCCTTTCTCTCTCTGAAATCAATAAAAACATATCAAACACACACACACAAAAGGTCTGAGAGGGAAGGAACCAGATCTTTTTGCTGCTGAATCCTCTGTTCTCTCTAGCACAGTGCCACACTCATAGCAGTTACTCAAGGGGGATTTGCTGCATTACATTTATAGGACTCCTAAAAGTTTGCAAAGCACATTTACATTCAATATCTCATTTGTTCTATTTGGAACTTAAGTTTATTACAGGTAGCATTCAAGACTTACAATCTGATTTCTGTTGCTTAATGCAATTATCGGCACTATCTCTAACTTTGTAACTTCATTATTTTTGTTGTTGTTAATCCTCACCCGAGGATATTTTTCCATTGATTTTTAGGGAGAGTGGAAGAGAGAGGGAAAGACAAAGAGAAACATCAATGTGAGAGAAACATTGACTGGTTGTCTCCGCACGAGCCCTGACCAGGGCCTGGGACGGGGAGGAGCCTGCAACCAAGGTACGGGCTATGGACCAGAATCAAAGCTGGAATCCTTTGGTCCACGGGCCAAGGCTCTATCCACTGAGGCAAACTGGCTAGGACTGTAACTTTGTACCTTTAAATGAAAGTATCTCTTACATTGCTTTACTTTGAACACTCATAGTGCCATGTGGCTTCAAAAGCTAAAAAACAGCATTTTGAGTCAAAGAAAGCCTACTTGCCAGACTGGTTTTTCTCTCTGCCTACAGGTTAAGTGCACAAATGAAAGGCCTCTATAAGCAGATGAGAGTAATGGCAAAATCAAAATTTTAAAGAGAAGAAATTCCTTTCTGAAGATGTTAAGATAAAAAAAAAAAAGATTTTCCTGTCTATCTAGTTGGAATCCTATTTATGGGTCAATCTCCAACATTCTTGGAGTTGCTATTCTAGCATATTAACAATAAAAAACCTCTAACTGTTGAACGATGATTCCTTGCTAAGAGACTGAATATGGCTAATAACAATGATGGTCTTGAACACCCAAGTGCCTTGGAGGAGCTCGATTAACATTTGTTGAATGAACAAGTAAATGAATGAATTCAGAGAAGGCCTTCCTATTTATTGTTTGTAAATTGAAAGTGTAAGTTTTCAGAGATGAATGGAAGGATATGTTAAATCTGAAAAAGTGGGGGAAAGTGCATTGAGGGGCAAGAACTGTGATATGTCAACTCTTCTTGTGATGGATCCTACTCTGGCTGCTGGAGAAGCAGGTGAAGGAGGGGTGAATGTCAGGCACTGCCCGTCTGACTAGGTCTCTTTGGAGTTTAGGTTGCAAGTTCCTTCAGGGCAAGCACTCTGTGGCCCTAGCACTGTGCTCTGCATATAAAATGTGCACCATAAACGTAGTAGGAGATGCAAAGACCTTCATGAGCTGCCTGTGCATGCTGACATTTCAGTCCTTTACATCTATTCTTCCTTACCTCATAGGAATAGTTAAAAATACAACACTTAATCCCGTAACACACTGCCTTGTACTACTTGACAACTGGTAGTTGTTATCATTATCATCTTTGAGGCTTTGTATATGCCTCAAAGGTAGCACTTAATGGACTGTGTTGTCAGTACTTGTCTGCACAGGTTGCAAGTGTCCTGGGGTGGGCTTTTCATCCTTTTACTAGTATGCTCAGTGCCTAGCACGGTGCTCACTCCACAGCAGGCCCTGAGGCTGGTTGCATGACTAAGCAATCGAGGTCCAGGTTCAAGGCCTGCCTCTATCCCAGCCCACTGGGTCACCTTGAAGAGTCACTTAAACTATCTGGGCCTCAGTGATGTCTGTCGGTCCTTCCAGCCTAGAGAAGCTAGCAATCTATAAGGAGACTTACAGAAGCTCCCATGACATCACTGGCAGAACTGAGAGGAGAAACCAGTTCCTGGAGTCTCATTCACTTAGTTCACCCTTCGTCACAGAGGCCTCACACACGTCTCCTTAATCACAATTCGCTTAAATGTCATTGTCACTTTGTGTAATCCCCAACCCTGGTGGATCACTGGCACAAATCACATGCCCCTTGGGAGTCCTTCAGTCCCTTAGAAAAACCATTTCCTCTTTCATGTAGACTTCGGAGACACACAAATTTAGTTACCTCAGGTAGAACGGATCAGCCTCAACAAACTTAGTTTCTCGTGCTTTGGATGAAATCACTTGGAAATCCTTGGTTCTGAGTCCTCCATCTCTTCCACATCAAGATCTAAAAAAAGAAAAGAAAAGCGCAGTGTCTCAAGATTAGCTGCCAGGATTTGATGTGTTGGCAACAATAGTAATTACAATTAGCATTCGCATTGAACACCTACTATAAGTCAAGCACTGAGCAAAGTGATTGACATATGTGACCTCATATAGTCTTTATAATACCCCTGAAGATGGTAGGCATTCCCCTCTTTACAGCCATACTGAAAGAGACTCTGAGAGGTCACAGAATATGCTCAAGGTCACGCAACTAGGTTCTGTTGATCTGGGACTTAAACCCAGGTTCAACTGATTCCAAAGCCTGGGTTATTAACCTGTAAGTCGGGGTTTTAAAAAATTTTTTTGACAAGTGACCCACCGTTTTTAAAAATTATATAAACAAACTCCAAAATGTCAAACATCAAAACAGTGCTTACTCTTACTGTGTGCCATGCATTAAGACCCGATTCTTCTCTATATCTTTTCAAAAATTCCAAGAGTAACCCATTCAACTGATTTCACAATCTTCTAATGGGTCCCTACTCTTCAGAAAAACACCACGCTTAGATACAGCACCTCACTAGAAGTTTCTCTCAAAGCACGCACTAAACCCTCCTATGCTTTTCAACCTTGAGAACCTGACCGAGTAGTTGAGCTTTCTAATTAGGAGGAAAAATCTTTAACCGTTAAAATAGGTATAAGGCACCATAACGCATATCATCTATAACGAATCCTTAAAAGCTATATTCAATTAGGGCCAAAGTCCAGAATGGTATTAATCACTTACCTATAGCAGAGCGGAAGTTATAAAGCGGAATCGCAGATGGACTAAAATCTAAGGTGATTAGTATACACTCTGCAAAAAAGTGGCTAACAGCGGGCGGTTGGGTTGGACCAACTGAGCAGACCTAACTCTACTGCAGAAGTAGGAGGCTGGGATTGCACCCCCCCCCCCGGGGGGGGCAGGGCCCTGCCTTTGCATTTTCCATTCAATTAAAGGGTTTTGGTGTTGAACCAGGGAAATCATCAAGTCTCCGCAGGGTCAGGTCCGGGGTCCGAGTCGCAGTCTGGGGGTGGGGAGGTGCGACTGTCAGCGCAGCGCCCGAGCCTGTTGGACCCGCGCCCAGAACGTCCCTTGGGTGCGCATTTCTCCCCGGCCCCCCGCCCCCCGGCACAGCTGCGCAGTTGGGCCGCTAGTTGCAGCGCAACCTGACCGACTCCGCAGCGGAGCCCCCTCCCCGGCGGCGCAGGCCCGGAGCCCGGGCACCTGCGGGCGCGCGGTCCCTGCAGCGGCTCAGCTCCCGGCGCCGGCGGAGCCCATAGCCCGCGCCAGGCTCCCCAGCCAGGTCTCGATCTCCCCCCGGGGACGGGAGGGACAGGCCGGCCGCGCTCGGAGCCCAGCGCCACCGCCGCGCACGCAGACCCAGCGACTGGCACTTACGGGGTTGGACTCCCCGCCGCGCGCGCGTTCCCGGGGGGTCCATGGCGCTTCCGGACGCGCCTTACGGCCGCGCGCGCACACCGCCCAGAAAATGGACGC